ACACAGGACATGAGCCCAATTTTTACAAGGACAAATTGAGAACAATGAGAAGGAGACTGACACCCCACACCACCCCCGAGCCCCACAGTGCTCAGGGGCAGGACAAGAATGACATTCTGCAGCAGATCTGGAATGACCATGCAGGGCCCATCTCAGCCAGCCCTCCTCCCTGTACAGGCGAAGAGGCCTGGGTTCCAAGAGGGCAGGGTCTTGCCCAAGTTCACACAGATACAGAGTGAGGCTCCCAGCCCTCTGCTGTTCCCTGTACCTGGATGTTTTTTCCTGCCTTGCTAATGCCTACTCATCTTTCAATATTCAGGCTAAAGGCCACCTCTTCTAGAAAGCCTTCCCTGACCCCAAGATGATTTAACTGCTCCACCCTCATGTCCAGGCCTCCCAGCTCCCCTTGCTCCCTTCCTTGTCAGTGTGTGGATCACTGTGCAGTCATCTTGTGTATATCCCCCAGCCTCACTTCCTCAAAGGCAGAGACCAGGGCTGACGGACCTGTGAGCAGTACAGAGTCTAACACACAGGAGCTGCTCCACCAATAAACTGAAGGGTCCCCACTGTGGTGAAGCTTCCTGGATTCCCCAGAGCAGAGCCTGCCACTCTCCATAGTGCTGGAAATGACAAGAACTAACTTGAGTGTCCATTCACTTCCTTGAGATTCTGAAATCTCTGATCCTATATTTTAAGAGGAGTGAGATGCCCAGAGAAGAAGTGAGCTGCTAGTCATATCCCAGAGGGGAGCCAGGGCTGGAATTCTAGCTCTCTGGCTTCTAAGCCCAGCAGGTAATGAGGGGGACCATGGTGAGACCGGCTCTACCAACTTTACACTCAGCCCTAGAGCCAGCTTCTCATGAGATTGTGGGTGTCTCCAGGGCAGGGAACAGCTGCAGCCCCAGGACAGGTGGACAAAAAGGAAGCCTGAGGAAGGATCCAGGAATCACACTGATGCTAAAAGCAAAGCATCCTGCCAAGAGGAATAGGGCAGCTCTCATGAGGGCTGAGGGTCCATTAATGATTCATTCATTCAACAAATATTTACTGAGCACCTACTACATGCCAGGCACTGTGCTGGATGCTGAGGACACAACACTGAGAAAGACAGACAAGGTCCCTGTTCTCAAGGGGCTGACATTCTTATGGGGAGACAATGACCTAAATAGGTAAGTCCACATGATAATTTAAGTAATGATAGGGACTATAAAGAAATAAAACATGAAGTAGTGACAGGCTGGCTCTCTAGATGGCATGGTCAGAAAAGGCCTGTGAGAAGAGGCTGAATGATCAGAGCCAGCCATGAAAAGATTTGGGCAGAAGAGCAGCACACACAGAGACTCTGAGTTAGATAGGACCTAACTGGGGGGAATGCTGCAGAAAAGGGAAGACCACTGGCAGTTCTGGCATACAGCGTGGTAGGAAATGAGGTCATGAAGCAGTGAAGCTGTTCATGTGGGGCTCATGGCCACAGGGAGGAGTTTGGAAAGTTTAAAGTATGATGTAGGGCAACTGTCAATTCACTTGGCATCAAAGCTCTGGGGGCTCATGGTGTCTCTATCCATCAGGGCAAGCTGGGGCGGGAGGACTTCTTCAAAAAGCCTGGGGGGGCCTGGCCAAAACGTGGCTCAGCCGATGAGCATGGACCTATGATCCAGGAGATTGTGGTTCAATTTCTGGTCAGGGCAGAAGCCCAGGTTGCAGGCTTGATCCCTGCTACGGGGCGTGCAGGAGGGAGCCGATCAATGACTCTCATCATTGATGTTTCTATCTCTCTCTTCCTCTGCCTTCCTCTCTCTGAAATCAATAAAGATATATTTTAAAAAAAAAAAAAGTCTAGGGAAGGGGCGTGGTCTGCCACCCACATCATGAAAACTGGAAGCTGCTTAGCACCTACAATGGCCAGAGCCCTATGCTCAGCCCTTTGCTGCCTCACCACACTTCTCTCTTGGTTTAAGGAGTCAAGTCACAGCCTGGGAGACAGGTCTGGGTTCTAACCCTGGTTTTGATAACTCTGGACCAGTGGCTTCTCTCTGGGGCCCTCAGTGTCCCATCTGTAACAAGGGCTGAGCCAAATCCAGTTTTAACAGATAGCTATGATTTTATGGCTCAAGTATTGCTGCTGAATTTGGAGGTGGGAGGATGGGGGTGGGGCAGGATTTCCACACAGGTTACTGACTCACCCAGCCCAATAAATATTACTTTTGGTCCTTCTTTCCCAGCCCAGGTGAGCCCTTGGTAGCACAGATAACCCCAAAGTGGCCTATGTGCAGTTGGGGAAGTGGGATAGGGGAGGGGGAGAGCTACAAAAATTGGAGGAGAGGGGAACATGAGAGTGATGTTCTCAACCTAAAATCTAGGACTGGGTTAGGTAACTGTCCACCCTCAGTTCCAAAGTTATCCCCTAACAATCTAGCCTCTTAGTTTCACCCCCCACCAAGTGCCTGCTTACATACAGCCAGCGATTGAGCTCCGCCCTCACCCACACTGAGACTGTTGCAGTCCTCAACAGCTGTTAGAAAGAATTCTCCATTATATTGTTGTAAAAGTAAAACATGATAATAAATCCATAATCCCACCCATTCCTGGCCTTGCTCTTTGGAGCCACACAAAATAAATCAGTTCAGAATTTTACTGGGGCTGCCACCCTAGGGATATAGGCAGGCATCAGAGGGCTCTGACCAGGGGCAGGCAAAAGCAGGGATGCAAATGTGACCAACTCTGCAGCCTCCACCCCAGCACAGGATAGTCCTTCAGAGATTAGAAAATATCAACAGGCTCCCACCTCCCCCCTAACAGACACCCACCTACCCACGCTCCCATATGTGGCCTTTTATTTTGGTCAAGAAACCAGACACCAAGGAATCCATTTCAATCTCTCACCCATTGCAGGACTTCCCTTCACAGAGTCCATGGTCTGTCCTTGAATTCCGCCACTAACAGGACGTTCACTACCTCACAATAGTAGAACCTTATTTACAGAGGCAAACCAGGCCACTGGGGAGTGTTGTCAAAGACCAAGGATGTAGCAAGCAGGTCTAATGGAGATGCCTAGATAACACAAAATGTGCTTCAGCACCCTCCCCTACCCCACCCAGTCTTTCACCAAAGCAGATCCGGAGCTAAATTGATTGGTTTGCATTTCATACCAGCCCTCGCTATATCCCATGATGGAATTCTTTGCAGCCAATTAAAAAATGTTTTCAAGATCTGATAACAACATGGGGAAATGCTCCTGATAATATATTAAGTCACCTGGTCAAAATCATTCCCTAGTTCTCCTAAATAACAAATTCTAGGTCAAAAACATAAGTCGGAATCATGGGCTCCTGGAAGATACAGCTCCCGACCTGTAGACAGCAGAGGTGAGAGAAGGGGATCACCAGGAAGGACTAGCAGAGAGCATCCCTGGCCCATTCCTTGGAGACAAAAGCATTTTTATCAGGATGAATATGGGCAAATCCCTTTCTTCTCTTCTTATGGGTTTCCAAAGGGCACAGTGAAGCTGCTTGCCCCCCAACACGGCTACAGCAGCTCAGTACCTCCCCAAGGGCAAGCAGCACCCAAACCAAGAGAAGCAGACATAGCAAGTCACACAGGGAACAACAATGCCCAGAACATGGTTACAGCTCCAGGGTGATACAGTCACTAGAATATTATAAGTGATTTTGAGTAACAGAAGGAAATACTCATGATGTAGCATCAAGAGGGAGAAATCAGGATTCAGAACTATATTTATAGCATGCCCTGAACTTTATATAATATGTATAAATAAAATTATAAAGAATATACTAAAATGGCAACAGAAAGCTATCTTCGGATAGTCAATACCAGCAATTTTGATTTTTATCCTGTTTTTCTATATTTTTCAAAATTCCAATAATTACCATGTTTTACTTTTATAATGAAGCAAGGTGGAGTAGGCGATTGTTAGGTACTGAAGAAAAATCCTAAGTAGGACAGGTTCTGCAAGCAGAATAAAGACTTAGGGGGAGGAAGGGAGGATTCAAGCAAGACAGACACTCAGACCAGGACAGCTGTGATGACTTCCCAGGGTCTCCCGGATTTGTGCTTAATCCCATGGCCAAGGCATTGCTAAGGAAACCTTGGACAAGTCATGCACTTCTTCAACCTCAGCTTCTCCAAGTACCCAGAGGGGCGTGATGTGGAAGGTGGAAGGGATGCTCTTCCTTGAGGGGGAAAAGCTCTGGAGTTTAATCTCAACTCTACCCCTGATTCAGTTCCAGGGGCATGGGCCACACAGGAGAGCACCCACTTTCTAAGTGTGCCAGGCTCACAGGATGGGCGTTGTATAGAGGACAGTGTGGGCACACCTGTCCCAGTCAGGCATGTTCTCTGTCTGGCGGCTGTTTCAGGATTGCAAAACCCTTGCCACTCTGCCCCATCCAGTCTCTCCCCATTGCTCAGCCTGGTGAGGACTGAGGGGAGGGAACTGCCAGGGGCCACCAACAATGCCGGGGGCTGGAGAGGAGTTGTCAAATATCAGCCCTATTTCACAGATGTGGAAAAACAAGCTGGGGGAGGCGGGGGAAGTAATGTAACAGAGGTTGCAAATATTGAAATGTTGATGAGTGCTAGCGTGGAGAATGGACCCAAAATGACTGACTACCATGTCAGAATTCATGGATCAGACTAGGGAACCATTCTTCCCTCATCCCAGACCCAGATGATCCGAGGGGCGGGGTGGAAGGTTTCCCAAAAGAAAAGGGGTTGGGACCTCAACCGCACAGTGGCCAGCCCTCCAGCAACATACCTTCATTAGAGGACCACACTCCTGCTAGCCTTAGGGCCCTTCGTCACAGCTTTTCCTGAAAACCCTGCAGCTTCATAACCCCAGGAGAAAAGCCCTAAAGGCCCTGCAGACCCCCTGGTGGTGAAAGCTAATCTCCCAGACTCTCACCCCGTCGCCGAGACCCCTCACGGGACAGCACAGACCCTCCGCTAGAGCTCTCGCGACGGGCCGCCCGGGCCGTGCTCACCTCGCAGGACCCCGGAGTAGGCGGCTATGAGGGTCTTCATGCTGAAGCCGGCACAGGTAACGGCCCCGCGGGAAGGCGCCTCACGCCGCGCCCCTGGCCATGCCCCGGCCGCCGGGGCCAGGGCTTCGTGCC